ACTTCGAGTCGAACAGACCTTGTTATACCTATTAATGCCGAACGCCAGGCAGGGACCAACAAGTACCATATTTTAACGTCTTTGGTATGACACGACCGGGGATCGAACCCACGATCTTCCGCTCTCCGGGCGGACGCTCTAACCACTACACCATGGAGGCGGTCCAAAAACACTGGAATATGGAGTCGTCGAATAAACTATCACTGTGCATGGCCTCCCTGTGTCACCCGTAGTAGGAGGCGATTAACGGGATCAGGTGGTCAGGTTCGCCGCCTTGGTTGACGCATGCCATCGTATCCCAAATACGTAGATCGATGCCATATAGAAGGAATATTGCTGAGTGCGGCGTTAAACAACAAACAAAACCTACTTATGTCAGCAATAAACGAAAACAAGAGGTGTTTTAGTTGTTGTTTGTTGTTTATCGTATACCATGAGAGATGTAAATACAGACAACTAGAGCTATGCATAAAACCCAAAGTGAAAACAATAAACAATTCGGTGACCCGTTATCTTCCATGTGTATATAAACATACCTGTGCTGTTTCATGGAGAGTCCTCCTGTGTCAAAAGGCCTTCCTGCTCACGAAGAACATAAACGTTAGATTAATATTGTGCCGTATGAAATAAAGCCCTGCAGTGACAAGAATAACGACGTCTGACAAAGTACCCCTGACGTACACCTCAAACCAGTTGTAGGTTTGCTAGCCACTGAACTGGCCCTGACCCTCAGTTCCCGTCTGAGCCCGTGGGGTGACATAGATGTCGACTGTCCTTGAGTGAGCGAGGGGCAAGGACAGACCCAGATACAGCACCATCACCTTCGTCATTGCCGATAGCAATGTCGTCGTAGGTATCACTGGCGTCAGTCTGATCCCTTGGGGCTGACATAGAAGGGGACAGGAGTGACCTGGAGGTATCAACAGACCCGGACTCAGCACCAGTATCTACGTCATCGCCGATAGTGATGTGGTCGTAGGTGTCACTGGCGTCAGTCTGATCCCTTGGGGCTGACATAGATGTGGGCTGTCTGGAGTGACCTGGAGGCAACAACAGACCCAGACACAGCACCAGTATCTACGTCATCGCCGACAGTGATGTGGTCGTAGGTGTCACTGGCGTCAGTCTGATCCCTTGGGGCTGACATAGAAGGGGACAGGAGTGACCTGGAGGCAACAACAGACCCAGACACAGCACCAGTATGTACGTCATCGCCGATAGTGATGTGGTCGTAGGTGTCACTGGCGTCAGCTGACATGTCCTTGACCAAGTGGTGTGACAGCAGATCTTCAGTGGATAATCTGATCGATGGAATGCCACTATTACCTACTGAACTGTTGCTGACCCCGACCTCCCATCTGATCCCTTGGGGCTGACATAGATGTGGATTGTCAGGTGAGCAAGGGGCAACAACAGCGACAGACCCAGCACCAACACCGGTGGCGATGTGTTTGTGGATGCCAGTTGCCTCAGCCGACAAAACACATGGTGTACTAAGATATCCTCAAAGCTTAAACTGGTGCATAGAATACCACTATTTCCCATTAAACTAACAATACATTGTCGCTTTATGATGATATATATATACTATTCCAAAAAAGAAACGCATAGCCCAGAAATGTGTTGCGAAAATATTGTATATTCAAACATGTATAACTCGTCCACTCCTCCACTTGCTTTTTTTTTGCATCAGTTTAGAAGAAGGTAATGTCTATACAACCAAGAGAATAATTTAAGATAACGGAGATGTTGAGCGCGATGGTGACTACGTAGCACGGTCCCGACGTAAGGTCTCCTGGCTCTCTCTCTCTCAACCTGTTCCGTACAGTCTGACCGGATATCCTCCGAAGTCCAGGCACCCTGGCTGCTGTGCTCTCAACCGTGGCAGTACGATCACGCAAATGTAGTACCCGGATGTACCGATGTTGGGCTGCAGTGGTGACTCGAGGTCTGCCTGTACGGGAACGGCCATTTGATGAACCTGTTTGGTTGTAACGAGCGGCAAGCAGTGATATCCTGTTCAGACTTACATTCGGACGCCTGGCAACAGAAAATTGGTAATCTCCAGCGTGCATTCGTTCAATGGTGAAATGCTCTTTGTTGCACAATTTCAACTGGAAGGTGATTTCTGTTCCGTTGTGGCGATGCCTTTTTGATTCTTGTAAGAAATCTCATCAAAATCAACATTTTCAGGTAAAGTCGATTTTTCACTTGTGCAATAGTGTAAAATCATGCTATCAACATTTTTGTCACATATTTTGACGATTATTTGAACACAATTGGTAATTAATCGATGTTTTTTAAAATACAAAACGCCTATGCGTTTCTTTTTTGCGGATAGTATATTTACATGCTAGTTGTTACAATCGGTTTTTTTCTGTTGAATTTCGTTGCGAAAGCCCAATATTTCATTCCTTCTCAAAATTTCCACATCTGTGGGGGAAAGCGGGTAGCATCGATGATAAACTTTAACCGACATTTTAGAGTGAGAAAGTGAGGTATTATGGTTTTAAGCCGCTGTCGGCAATATTCCAGCAATATCACGGCGGGGAACACCGGAATTGGCTTCACACAATGTACCCATAGACCCATGTGCGTAATCGAACCCGGGTGTTCCAGATAACGAGCGAACCACATGGGTACAATGTGGGAAGCCCATTTCTTGTGTACCCCGCCGTGATATTGTGGGAATGGGTCATAAGCTGTGTGTGTGTCTGTGGTGGGGGAAGTGGGGAAGGGGGGAAGGGAGGGAGAGAGAGGAGTCTTTCATGAAATTACCATGAACGGACGTCATACAGTAAATACGCCATTAAAGAATGAGCACTCAGTATTTGATCTCTGTTTGCTGAGAGAGAGTTGGCTTCACACATTTCCATCATGTTTGGAATTAGCAGAGTAGAGTTGTCTCCCTTCAACCTGGAGCTGCGACTCCCATTTATGACATTCACCACAGAGGTAAAGTCCCACAGATATCACCTTTGTGTCACAATGACCTGACACTGCATATACTGTGAACTACATTGCAAATATTTATGACTTGTGCACCCATACGATATCACATGGGGCATAAAAGTGACATCCGCGTTCGTGCATATTGCTGCACTGGATGCTCTGCTTGGTGAGCTTATCATACGTGTACACAGAACTTGTGTAACAATGAAGTTCACTCAATGTACTCAAAACAGCGACGACTCTCACTATTGCAGGCCAATTGCACTACTCCATTCTTGTCAGCCACGTCCTATGGTATAAGTCCCCGTCGTCATTCACTTTATTTCAAGTACTTTTTATCAGTGGTGACGGCCCTCGGATTACCGAGACTGAAAACTCTTCTCTTGTCTGGTGTTAATGTTTAATCTAAGAATGGGCTCTAATATGGTTTGATGTGGTGAATGTATTAAATGTTATATAATATGCACGTGGAAGTGTAACGAGAGAGAGGTGGCCAGGTGAGTTGCAAAAACTCTTTTATCAAACCGATAATGCTGTCATCCTGTACTGTAGATTTGTAAACATATTCAGATATGCAGGCTTACTAAAACAGACGGGAATACACCCACATCTCGGCGCCTGTGTAAATGCAAAATACTTTTTTCGAAGGATTAGCAGATAGTATGTTGAGTGATGGATTGTCGTCTAACTAACCTGAATGTTTTTAATGAACCTTGAATATAATAAACATAAATAGCATGTGTGCTATCTAACCTGACCAGTGAGACGTGCTGAAACAACCAGTTGCGAGACAAACTCGAGTTATAATATCCAGAAACGCTTTAAATATATTTAAATATTTTATTGCTACAAAGAGTAACGTGATACATTTGGGATTACATTTTCTCAGTAAAGTTCAGATTCTAGTACTTTTGAGAGTTGAGTGCCATCCGGGATTCGAACCCACACAAATCAGGAACACAAATCCTAAATATAACATGTGTTACTTTTTACCACTTTCTAAATTTTACTGTGTTTTCATAGCTTTCGGCCTTGGGAGCCGTGCCGATTTTCACTTATCAGAGGGACAATGCTGATAATAATTACAATAATTCATTTACATAGCGCCTTGTATCCTTCTAGGTAGTTGTCACTGAACGTTGTAATCAGAACCTGATTGTTATTACCCCGGATAACCCAAGCTGCCTGTGAGGCGCTAGAGACTTATCTCACCGGGTACCCATTATACCAGTTGTCCGACTTCAATGTTTGTGGAAGCCGCGGTGGCTGAGCGAGTTCTGCAGGTGACGTCGTGTTCTGGCGATTAGGTGCCTGACTCTGAGGATGTGGGTTCGAGCCCCGGATATATCGATACATCGGTCGCGCTATAACGCGATAATTGCTCCCCAGTAAACTGCATTCTACCCTGTAGTACTACAGAATTACAGCGTTTATGAAATCTCTGTAACCAGTGAGATAGTGATTGTAAACGTTTGCTGTTACCAAAGCAGATATATATATTTCTTACATCGTTGTCAAGCTAGAGGTGACCAGGTGATGAGAAACATATATGCACAGTCGATAGTGACAAGCAGAGGTTAACAACAACAACAACAACAACAACAACAACAACAACAACAACAACAAGTGGTAATTGGTGTCTAATTAGACAGGTTACATACTGGCATGGATAGAATATAACATTTCTAGAGTGAGTGAGTTTAGTTTTATGCCGCTTTTAGCAATATTCCAGCAGTATCATGGCAGGCGACACCAGAAATGGGCTTCACACATTATACCCATGTGGGGAATCAAACCCGGGTCTTCGGCGTGTAGAGCGGATGCTTAACCACTAGACTACCTCACCGCCCAAACATTTCTAGAAATCACGACAGGGACAAAAGAGGGTTTTCTTTGTGACAAACATTCCTTTGGATATTGAAACTAATTCTCATAAAATATATCTATATATTATATATGTAAGAGAAACTGTACTACTAACACTGTGTATGCATTGTAGGTAGTGACAAGCAGAGGTTAACACCACCACCAACAACAACAACAACAACGGGTAATTGATGTCTAATTAGACAGGTTACACGCAGGCATGGATAGAATATAACAATTCTAGAAATCACGACAGGGACAAAAGAGGGTTTCTCTTTGTTACATACATTCCTTTGAATTTTCAAATCAATTCTTATAAAATATTTATATTCAATATGTAAGGAAATGTGACTACTAACACTGTGTTGGTAAATCATCAACACACTTATAATGAGGGGAAGCGCTCAGTGCTGCGATACCAAGCGAAAACATCACACATTACTTCAGTCTTATATACATCATAAACATGACAAAATATCACATTCCTTACAAATAAAAATCTGGTAGCTATAAGAATATTTTACATTTCATAAACATATTAATAATTCATAAATTGGAAAAAAATCACTACAAATGGTTCCGCTACTTACAAACTCAAATCTACAAGGAATGCCAAAATTTATACTCCATGAAAACAGATTTAGCAGTAATTAAGATAAATTCTGATCCAAATAACACACGCCGTGACTTTTAACGTATACAGAATCATAGTTAGATATTCGTGACAAGTGTTGCAGTTCATATTTCGATTTGTTCTTTGCGAAAGACTTTGTAATTAACACTAATAGCCAAACATTAATCAAAACTGCAAATACCAGCATCTGCTGCATATTACATTCTTGTGCCATATACCCGAGACCTTCAGACAATCAACGTGTTGCCTGGGTTCAGACATTGGTGTCGGTATTGTACATACAGAGTGTCATGCTGATGATGAAGACTTTTCTACCGATTGTAGTCTTTGAAGGATCCTGTAACGCTGTGGCCTGATATCAGTTCTCCTGTTACATGTGCATAGTCGGGCAGACCAACATACATCATGACCAACATGGGTCTATCAAAATCTACATCTGTAACAGTGATGAACACTGTGTTATCAGCAGCATTGATAACTGACAGTTTGTTGTTAGCTCCATTCAGTACAAAACACAGTCGTAGGTCATAAGACTGACCAACTCTGTTCTGGGTGAGTGGGGTGTCGCTGAGGACGGTGTTATTATAGGCAACCCGGAGACACAGCTGCTGCTTGTGGTTGCGGCATGCACCAACACGTACACTCAGTCCAGTGCGTTGATTGATGGAAGCATCTACAGGGGTGGGGGTCAGAGCAGTCTCCAGCATCGTACCGTTGTCTGGTATATTTCCTTTCACAGAGAACCCAAGATTTACTTGATAGATGCACTGTTGACCGGGGCTGTTTCGGACCATCAGAGGTCTGGACGCCAGTACTGATCTGAGTTCTTGTATCCGACATCCTGTATCAGGAGAAGGGGTGGTTGGTGGAGTGTTGGTGACTACCCGCCTAGACACGCTTATATCACACCAAGCTGTTCCTGGGTCCCATTCCAGCATAGGGCCTGTGTACAGAATAACATTCATAACTGATACAAACCATTTCCATTGCAGTGAACGAGAAGTTATTGATATCATAGAAACAAAAAGTTATGGAGATGAATCATATGTATGTAGCTGTACAATAACCTTTAAATAAACCTCAGCATAGGATCCATACATAGAACTGTACCTCCAGGGTAAAAGAACTGGGTCCCATGTTCCTATTATGAATATCACTCTAGAGTGATGTATTGACATATGTGCCACAGTAAACGTATTGAAGCATCACCAAGGACACGATGCCCTCATCCAGAAGTACTCACATGTTATCTCCCCTTCAGACAACTTCCTGTCCGTCTCCATCACTGACACAAGGCATAGGTCATGTACTATCTCCACAATATCATATATATGTTCTGGGGCTGGTAAAACAGTCCCACAGATCTCTTTCGAAACAGACGGCTATGTCAAACATAGCGCTCACATTTTGTCAACATTCACAAAGTCCGTGTATAAACTTAATTATGTCATTCCCGAAGGAACATTGAAAAACGGTGGCGGAATATGACGAAATACTTTAAAGTGGTTTTGTTTTGATCTTAAGGTGTTTTATAGTTGGTGTTAGATTTAAGTATCGTGATACGTATTGTATTGCCACCCTTGTATCGGGATTCGTATCGTATCGCAGCTTCAGAGCACAATACTTTGTCACATTCAACCACTCACCCCCACCCCCAACTCACTCTTTCAACCCCCAACTCACTCATTCACTCACCCCCCTTCCCCCAACACAAATCCACCCCGTTTCTTCATCACTCACTCACTCATTCTCCACCCTACCACTCACTAACTCATTCACGCTTGCAAACACTCACTCACCCACTCACTCACCACACACACACACCCAACTCACTCATTCACTCTCCCACCCCACCCCACCCCCACAAACCCACCCGTTTCTCCATCACTCACTCACACACTTATGGTATTAAATCAAATGTATGTAGCTGTACAATAACCTCTAAATGAACCCCGGTACCTGTACCTTTGAGACCGATCTGAGAGCGGGTGATTAGCGGGGTTTGATCCCTGATCGTGGCATGCCACAAGGACGTTAAAACATGGTACTTGTTGTCTCCTTGTCTGGCGCTCAGCATTAAGGGGATAAAACAAGGACTGGTCGTCAATATGCTGTGATTCAGTGAATCATATACTCTCATACAGAACTGCAGCTTTCGGTCGGTCGGTCGGTCGGTCGCATTCATTCCGCCACTCACCCACCAACCCAACCACCCACCAACAAACCAAACTCACTCATTCACTAACATTTCCTAACCTGTTTATTTCGCAACATGTGTTAAAACATTGTAGCCATGTGACTACAAAAATGTTTCTGGAACCATACAAATTTATGCGAATAAAACGTTATAAAAATATCTCTCGAACATGTTTGAGGGAAGCTTTTTCATATTTAAATTTTTTGGATACACATATAAAATTGTTTTCATTTATAATTTGTGGTATATGCTATGAAATATAACAAATATGTAATCAGTGAAGCGAGTATATAATAATTGATATAGCATACAATAGGCCAATACAATGCCGATAAAGTATGCCAAAGTTGTCCCGATGCAGGGCCGATGCAGGACAGTTGAAGTTCGCCAACGTTAGGCCAATCTCGATGGGATGAGCAAAACTTCATCCGCCAGATGATGTTTGCCGACTTTGGGTAGAGGATGCAACCGACGTCGGGGTCACACATTCCTTCACTGAAACAACACCCATCCTAACCACCCACCCACTCACCCACCCAAGCCCACTCACTCACTCAAAACTAACACAAGAACTGGTCGACAGCAAGTAAGTAATCAATTTTCTACTCCTTACCTGTAGGTAATTCTGCTGGTTCCAGTACGATGGCATTGCTTAAGTATATGGCACTGTTGTTGGCCTGTCTGTTGGGTAGAACGTGACTGATCTGACCATTCCAGCTGCCTCGATACTATCACGAAGATGATGTATGTTTGCCTCCACAAAGTTCACACCAGTCCTGACAAAGGATACCTCTTGTGGCGTCTCGTCCAACATGGCTCTCAAAAAGGCAGCTGAAGACCCCATCACATGAAGATCCTCTATCCTGTCAGCTTTACTTCTCATTAGTTTTGTGTAGTCAGTGGAAGATTTTACTCTTGCCTGCAAAACTCTTGTTGATTCCAGTGATTCTTCTGTCATCTGAAGATTCTGAGCAGATTTATCTTCAACATCTGACAAGAGGACTGCCCTCCGTTGCTTCAGCTCATTGGTAAGATCGTCAAAAGCTTTGTTGATATAATCTGTGGCAACCCTCTTGGACGTTTCAATGTTCTCTAGCTTCTGAATCAATTCTGCTTCTGTTTTTCTCAGTGTCTCTGACTTCACATACATCTTTGCGAAAACGTCTTCTGTGGATTTCGACAGTTCTTGGTGTGCCTCATCCACAGACACAACATTGTGTCCCTTCCCTTTATCGTGATCTACTACAGTGCACGAAAGTAGTATTGTAGGTGGGAGCAGACGGTCCTTTTGGTTGAGGGAGGTTGAGGGAAGGGTAAGGAAATGGATTGGATGATGTAAGTCACGTGATCATAGCGGATAGGTAAATATAGACAGCACAACACAGGAAAGTTCAATGAAAGGTGTGGGTGTTTTAAGGCAGTCGTGCAGAAAACTCTTCATTAAGCGAAAAAAACAAACAAAAGCAAAGTGTCCTGAATAGAGCTATGTATAGCATGCTGCCCTGAATAGACAGATAGACAGTACCCGTCAGCCCGGTTTTGAATTGAGTGCGCTTGACAACTCACGTGACTCCGTCGTTTTAAATAGCCCGCGCTCGACAGAGCGTGCGACCTGTTTTGATGAATGCAGGGTGTGTGTTGAAAGTACATCGTATCACAATAGAGACGGGTTGTGTCAACATGGTTCGGAGACGGAATCTTCGAGTAATGTCAAATGTAGTTGAAAAACATTTCATACAGAACGCGTCCTGTACAAGTATAACACCATCAAAGTAATGGAAAGTCGGTGTAGGTTTATATGTTATTTCATACTATAGTACTGTAGGAAATGCTAGAAAATTGCTTTTTAGCCTGAATATCTTTATAAAGGTGATACATGTACTATGTTGTCAATATATCAACTCGTCTATTGTCTACCTAATTTTTATTTCAACCGATTTAACATTCCCCTGCATTTAAAGGGCAGTTTACAGGAGAGAATTTGGTACCAAAACAGCAACTTAAGATTTTTTCAGAGTTCAACAACAGAAATCTGAAATAGTCTTTACATTTATGCTAATAATACAGGTGAATTTATGAATTAACGTTTCTCCTAAACAAATAAATGTTGATTGTTTGTGTTACTTTACTTAATTATCGTTTCTTTATTGAAGAAAAATATTAATATAAATGTTAAGTCTTGATAAATAAGTTTCCCGTCATGCATGCACATCTTTATCACAGCGTCCACTATGGCCAACGATTTGCAGTCGATTGTTGCAAAGGTTTATAGTTTTTTTCTGCTTAAAAAAGACAGAGGTAAACCTTTCATTAGTTTAGAAAGGGTTTATTACAGAACTTGTAGAGCTGTTGGCATGTCTTACCAACAAGTTTACAATATTGTAAACAAATCAGACAAGAGAGGGACCGTCTCAAATGCAAAACCGGGACGTAAAACCATCCTTGACAGCTTTGACAAGGGATGGAGTGCTTAGACGGGCGGTCTACAAACTTTATGAGAAGAAAAATATATATATTCTAAAGAAGCTACACCAGTGACTTCGTTAAATCTTTGGCCAATGTTCACAACTAGATTAAACTGACCGTATTACATCCATATTTTTGCAATGAAATATACTGTTGACATGCAAAACATTTATTAAAACGTTGCACATTTCTACAATCAATCGATAAGATAACACAAGTGATAGGATTCTTTCCAATGTACAGTAATTCGTATGTTTAATTCAAAACAAATACACATACACAAATGATCCCTTACATAACCGATACGTATACTATACGTACACATATTCAACATTTTGCAGAAAAAAACATCTATTGAGATGACCCCTCGCCCGAGCGTGTGCTCAGGTGTCAATTTCACCTGTCGATACCGTGCATGCTGATGACGTAACACAGGCAGTTAATGTTTGTATCAAATAACGTCCCACTACCCCTTATTTTTCTAAGTTTTTGGTATTTTCATCAGTAAAATCACATTTTAGAGCATGTCTCAAAATTTATTCCCTCGGTCTACATTAGGTAGATGTTTCTTGAAGTTATATTTGTTATTTAAGTAACTGTAATACCTATGAATTTTAAATAAAAGTCAAAAAGCATTTTTCTAGCATTTCCGACAGTACTTTAGTTTGTTTTTGTTTTTGGTTTTGTTTTTTTGTTTTTTCCATCCAAATAAATGATTTTGAGCCATGTACACTAATGGATGCAGTTTTAGTTTTACTAGACAGCGAGATGGTTGAAATATGAGGCTTGAAAAACACATGGATAGAAGCATATCAATATCATATAGCACACGTATAATACCATGAAAGTCACGTCATTTGGAGAGAGACGAAAGAAATAGAAATGTAGAGGCTAGGAATCTGCTTATTGAAACAGTTCTGTCGTGCCCTGTTCAGACAGAGAACAGATTTTAGAAATCTACAGCGAGATACACAGGCGCGTTGAATGGATAGTTATTATATGTCAATCATTCGTCAGAATAGTCCTATAAGACAAGTTTCAACGCGTCTACGTCACGTGACCACACCAGCGATATATGAAACAAATTCGGTCGAATAGTGAATCATTTACAACATAGAACTCTTCGGTACCACGCTGAATGCTTTTAACTTTGCTCAGTGTTATTGCTTACTATCTAG